GTGCAAATCATCCTCAGAGAACATCCCTCTGTCATGCACGAGGAATATGTTTGCTAGGGGATATGGACTAAAACCAAAACCAGTGCAGTCTAGGCCACTCAGATATCAATTATTCAAAACTCCATACCTGCAATATCCTACATAGGTCCAGGGTCCTACATCAACTTGCCACTATTCAACTTCCATTTTTTATTCCCAAATTTTATATCCCAGGTCATTGAGGAAAACTAGGTTCTAGGCTGATATGAAAAAAAAAAAAAAAAACACAAAACCTCCTGGAGAAGATCCTGACAGGACACAGTAAGTCTGAGCTGCTGCTGAGCTGAAGAAAAGTTAAAATTGTCTGACATGACTTTTCTCATTCACTGTAGCAGATAACTGAATGTGTTCAAGTACTTGGAATAGCAAAGAAAGAATCAGAGTGCTTTTTATCCATAGACTAACTATATCTGCACATTATTTTGGGACAAACCCCTAAACTGCTTTTGCAACTAGACTCCACCCAACTGTGTGGATAGAGTTAGTTCAGTACAGTGATAAGTCATCTAGGTAGCCCAGCAAGAGGCTTTCTCCACATCCTCTGGAAGGACAGGAGATGGATGGCTCAGGACCACTGAGTACTGGTAGCTGCTCAGTCGTGCTGAGATTCAGGTCCCTCAGTTGTAGCAACTGCCTAGCAGGAGATGGATGGCTCAGGACCACTCATTCAGAGTACTGGTAGCTGCTCAGTTGTGCTGGGATTCAGGTCCCTCAGTTGTAGCAACTGCCTAAGGATATTTGGGCACTTCAACTGTACGGGATTTAAAAGTTAATTCTTGTGAAGAAAAAATTTAGAATGGTGAATCAAAAGTACCATCAGCCACACTCCAAAATCTACTGGAATTAGTGGGAGAATCAAAACTTTTCCTTTGTCTATAGCTAACTCTGTTAGACTTGAGACACGACAACGCTTAGACCACTGCCATTGACCAGGGTACGCAGATTAACCAATGCTGGTAACGACAAACTTGAACTGACAGGCTCCTCTTCCCCCATGTACTTTGTGAGCTAGAACAAGAAGAATTCGCCCATCTCATCTCATCTGCAGCCTTGCCCAGAGGTTTCTGTTCCTTCCTTCAAGCCCCTTCTGTATTTGTCTCATGGAAACAAACTCAGAGATTAATTCTGAGGGACCTGATCCTATGTGAAAATGTCAATTTAAAACTTCTCTCTCACTTAACACTCTTGGCAAGCACCCAGATATGAACCACAGACTTTGGCCCACAGACTTTTTTTAATTAAGTGCTTGTCTTCTGATATTAAACTGAACTTCAGTGGTATAGGGATGCTGCAAAAATGATTCATCCTAAATGAAATAATTTCCTATGTAATTTACAAACTTTGTTTATTCGAACTGGAAGAATTCCATGTATTAAAATGACAACCACTTAAACATTTAAAGTTGAAGAAATGCCAGATGATAGAAAATAGTCTGAGAGAAATCCTCATATTTCTTTTTCAAGAATAATGTTCAAAAGGAAAAGAAAAAAAAAAAAGCTTTTGAGATACTTTATTAGCAACTAAGCTAACTCCAGCTACCAGCAGATCTGGTCTTGTAAAATTATAAATTTATTACCTTTGTAGGCATATGAGAGAAGGAATCAGGCCTGAAAACAGTATTTGAAAAGATGCAAAATAGTAAACACCACTTATAAAATTTTATATTCACTTAAATCCATACAATATGAAATCTATTCACTTTTCTTAAGTAGCAGAAACGAATGCAAACCCTTTTGTTGAAAATCCATTACCTGAACTCTAATTTTACTAACAAAGCAATTAATTCATCTGTCCATATTGCTATTACTTCACTGTACCATATAACTACTGGTAGTTTTGCTGCACAGGCAGCAAAAAAATCAAAAGGAGACTCATGCACCCACTCCCCATGCTCACACTATCTGCTAATGCAGGCTTCAACTAGCTATATTTCACCTTAAATATTGAGAAGTTCAAGGCAATTATTTTGCAGCTATTCTAAATCCAAGACACAAACCACCTTCTTTTACAATAATATACAAGCAAGCTTCTCCCTAATTATCAATCTTGCTGTTTCTAGGTTCATGCTTTAAACTGCAGGAACAAATGGGAGCGTTCCCTGTCACCAAAATACCACTGTCTAAAGAGATTATTTAAATCATTCCTGTTCAAAAAGGAGCTATCTAATCTTCTAGAAAGCCAACACACCAAAGGGGATGAGCAGGTTAAAACTTATATTTACACAAAGACATATTTTACTGCAAAAAAGTAAAGTATATAACAAGACATGCCTAACTACTGTAGGTAACTTTTTAAATATCCTTCACTCAGATTAAACTCTGTTAAAATGTGCATAGACCAAGTCATTAGAAAAATTACAAAGACTTCTTATTTTATTATTTTTGTAAGAACAACACCGAAAGTTTTATACTGTCTAGATTTACAAAGTCCTGTAACTTCATCAGTACTTATGTGGGTGGACTCATCGCTGCTGCATGCATGTACTGCATGACACAGATCACTGCGAGTGACCTGCAATGCTGTGTTCATCACTTTTAAAATTTAGTTGCCTCCCCCTCCTCCCCAGCAAAAAAAAAAAAGTTAAAATTAAGGCCAGTGTTAAAGAGCACATCTTGTCTCCCAGCTCTAATAACTGCAGGACACTTCCCACATAGGAGACCTTATATCTGGATTTTCTTAATTAACCCGGAGAAACTAGAATCAGATTTTATTAGTATACTGCCTTAATTCTCAATACTTTTAGCCTGTGAAAAGGAAGTTTACAAAGAATTAGTCTCTCTGTCCTTTTGCACATGTGCCAAAATCTCGCTACTCTATGTACAGTACAGAAGAAAATCAGCTGGGACCACAGATAGTCCCATCATTCTCTGTGTAAAGGGATGAAAAACCTAAGAGGTGGCATTATTAAAAAAACCAGCCTACAACAGACTAATTGGATCCTCTACAGATAAAGATTTTTCATGATCAAAGCAAAAAATAAAATCAAACAGCCACCATCTCCAAACCCTCCACCAAAAATCACCCACAACAGAACTTTGATGTCTCTGTGAATAATTCCACTGAAAGAATAAGGGGAAAAATCTCTTGCAATTAATCTTTATAGCATACTGATAAAGGACAGAAAGGATTGCCTTGCAAGTAATACCACTCTTCATTAGAGCTGTTTCAATCTAAGTTTTTCTCACTTAAATGATATCTTTAATCTTGTTCTTTTTCTTGGTCAAGGAAGAGTTTGGAGTTTCAAAATCTCCATCACTAAATCAGCCTCTTGAATCCACTGAAGAAAAAGCCAATACTGTCATTGTTCCTCTGTACAAGCCTAATTTGTATCCTCAGTTTATTAAGATTATACAATGGGTTATGAAGATGAGTAGACCAGACACAGTCTTGTTATGAAAAGATTTTCCAGCATATTTCAACATTTCAGCAAGTCTTGGTCTTAAATATTAAGCTGCCTGCATTTTGCTCTAAGTTTAATTTCTTTCCACTAACTCTGTTGAGGCACTCATAAGTTGCTCTCCTTATATTGGAGAGAAAAAGAAAATTGTAATAGACATACAAAAGAGCACAACGTACCTACTTAATTTCATTTTTGTTTGTTTTGTCAAAATAACTAGTCAAGTGTCAAAGAAGCTACAATATATACCTAAAATATGACTTCATACAAAGAACAGGTGAGTGTATAAAGTCTTACAAAGGTACCTAAATCAGTAATAATCTTCCTCTCCTCCTGCCTTTCAGAGGAGATGGATTACTACTAAGCTTCACTGAGACTTATTATTGTATTTCTAGCATCCCTTCCCTCTGGCTGGTCACTACAGTAACACTTGAAATAGCCCATGCGCTGAAATTATTACCAGCCACTCTTCACGAGCCCCAGAAGATGCAATCACTCTAATGAGCAATGACAGTATCCACTGGTCTTATATGCCTTGGTCCCTAGCAGCTGAAGACCTGCATACCATCTTCATCACTAAGGCCAACAGACACATCCTCCTCTACCTCCTCATCAAGCTGGAGGCTTCCAAAGGAGTACTTGTTTCTAGGCATGGGAGAGGAACTCAGCACAATGGGATTTCCAAACACCAGGGGGTGAGTGAAGGGGTTAGTGATTTCTGAGTCAGAATCACTAGATTCAGTCCCACTGCTGGTGGAGCCCTCCATCATCTGGATTGCAGCCATGTGATCCATCACACCACTGGCATGCAGGGAATGTGCGACTGGGCTCAGCTTTGACTGTGCCCCAGGTGGCATACCGTTGGCCATCATTTTGCCTTCTGGAGAAGACATCTTAGCCACTCCACCTCCTTTACAATGTCTCTCTGTTCTATACTCCTGCGTGGGGGTTGAGGATATCTGGCTCAGGATAAATGGATCTGTAACTGATTTATTGCAGAGATTTGGGATTTTCTGTACACGAGGCCGTTGAGAACCTGGAGAATACCTGCCATATCCATGGCAGCTACTGGCATAGCTATCCTCCTCCCCAGTCCTCATCCTGCAGTCATGTCCATTTCCTGAGACATAACCCTGAGAGCCAGTTCTACTCAGGCTCATGTTAGGGCTTGACCCTTTGCTACTGGGAGTCAATGGAGTAGCCAGTGGACTACGGCTCCCTGGCTCTTTAAACATTTCATCAACCAGTGAGCTGTGCCTTGGCATCCTGGGGCTTCCCCCAATGTAGAAGGAGAGATTGGCTGGGTTATCATCAAGGTACTCTTCAGAGAGATACTGGGAAGACTTTATAGAGGCTGAGGAATCCCTGTATCTAGTTCTATTGCAATTTTCATCTCTATAGTGAATATAGGCACCACTGGTCAAATCACCCTCATAGTTGTCATTTGTTTGGGAATATGATCGGGTTATTTGTCCTCTGAGGAGATCATACTCGCTATCTACATCACTGCAGTCAATGAAAGGAATGGAGGTGCTACTGCCATGAGCAGCCCTGGAAGCTGGACCTGTGCTCGGTTGCTGTGACTGAGGTCTGTTCTGCTGCATCCTGTCCTTAGCAGCCTCCTCTTCTTCCTCCACTGTTGACACCACTGCTCCATCCATTTTTCTGCCTTCCTTTGGGCTCTTCTTCAAGGAAGGGCTCTTGTGCTGTCCAGTGTCTTCTGCTGAAGCCTTTAACTCCTTCCCTTGCCGGCAGCTCTGCACTGCTGCAGCATCATTGTCATCTCCATAGGCAAAGCTAGAGCTCTGTAAAGATAAAGGAGGGAAGGCAAGGAGGAGACAAAGGGGGAGGGAGAGGTGGGAGGGGAGAGGTTTGGGAAGGAAGGGAGCCAGAGGGAAAAGGCTATGTGTAATTATGCACCAGAATTTTGCACTGCAATGCAGCAACATAGGACTGTCTTGAAAGTGGAAGAGGTAACCGAAACTTCAAAATTAATTAGAAGAAAAAAAAAAAGAGGCCCCTGATCTTAAGAACAGAAAAATACACAAGCTAAGCAAGGGAAGGGAAGAGAAGGCAGACAGAATGTTGTGATATGTAAAAAGCGGTATTTGAGGTGTTTCAATGCCCTAAGGCATTCATCAACACTAAGAATATCAATCTGTTTGCTCTATTCTAAGAAGCTAGAGGGACATAAAAAGATAAATGCATAAGACAAATTTTGCACAGCTCACACTAAAAAAGCCACGTATGGGCTTTTGAACATCTCATATTCAATCCCTGGGGCACATCTGCCACTAATTCATGAGCTGGCTTTTCTGCACACAGGAATATGTCACATCTGCCCAGTAGCCACACTCCATCTACCTGAGCTTGTCTTAGCAGTATTAAAAGGCTAAACGATATTTGAAATGGGCTCCATTTGTAGCAGAATTCTCTGAGGTCTTTGGATTTGTAGGAATGAGACTGCCTGTGAATATCAAAAGGAAGCAATGCAAGGAAGATGAAGGTGTGGGTAGCACTCTTAAATACATTAACCTAGTAGCTTGCTTCTGCCATCTGGGATGCCAGCAACCAGAGAGACCAGAGCTTGTGCATATTGATTGGGTGGGTACATCCATGTGCAATTTCTAGCAAACATTAAACTGGACTAGTTGGCAAGTATGATAAGAGAGTTGGGAGCCAAGTAGTGGAGCAGCTCTAAGTCAGGCCAGACACTGGAAAGACCATGGGGCCTGGAGGTCAATTACTGGTGATGTCATAAGTTTGGATCAGCTATTAGAGACACACCTTTGATGTGCATGTGTCTGTGTGTAAGGTAACTGGGAACCAGGGTACCCAGCTGTCAGTTACTGGATAGACTGGGTGTCTTAAGATGAATTACTGGAGGAATCAATAGTGTGTGTGTGTGTGCAGTGTGCGTGCAGACCTGAGTACCAGCAACTGGAGTGGGGCTGTGAGCCTCAGGGGCTTGTATGTCCAGGTACCAGCTAGTGGGAGACCTGGCTGTTCAGGGGCCTTTGACAGACTGAGTGTCTAAGACCAGTTGCAGGAAGGACTCATAATGTATATAAATGTATATATATTTTCCACTAATGAACTTTTATCCTGATCAGACAAATAGTGGAACAGGATGAGGCCACTGGCACTGTTTGTGCTTGTGGAAGTGCTGTTTTCTGTTTGTGTTTACCTGCATGGCTGGCTGTGTGTATATATATTGTATATGCACATTTATGTGGGGGCCTATTGGGAATACATGCTCAGCCTTCCTACTAGCTCGACCTGGGAACAAGCAGCTGCTGCAACCCTGCTAATATTAGGCTATTGGATTTGCAAACTTCTAACCCATAACAGCTGTTAACACAAGACAAATACATTAGATATCTACCAGAGACAACGGGTTAAAAGTCCAGAGCCATAATTTTTCTGAGGAACTAATTCTTCTCCTCCCTGGTTAATACAACAAAACACCTTGTCATGGGCAACCAAGACTTCTCAGTGAAGGAAAAGAATTTAAAATTTCCCAGATACAATAACCAGCTACAACCTAGGACCACAGCAGTTACACTGTGGATTGCAATTTTTCAGATGGTCATTAGTACACCTCAAATAAGCTCACTATTTCTCTTTGTCTGGTGGTCTGGAAGCAATGCTGTTCCACAGTGCAAATGAACCCGTTCCACTTGCGAAACCTAAAACTTATGACACCCAGGGCTCCCCAACTCCCAGTTAAATGAAAAGTGAGCAGAAAACTATGCTCCTAGAGTTTCAAAACAGCAGTCAGTGGAAGGTAATTTAACAAGAAATGTTTAAAAGCCATGATCCAGAGTTTCATCAACATCACTGACTTGTTTTGGCACTTCTGTATGATGTTCTGAAGGCTGTGCAGTCAGGCTCCTGATGGAATGAATCTTGCTATGTTTCCTGGAGGTAAAAGGAAAAAGACAATAATAAGCCATTTCATTTTTTTCTACAAATAGGAATGAAGAGGCATGCCTCCTTTAAAACAAAACCTTTGAATAGCAGCTTTCATAAAAGTTCACTCCAAAACAGATAACATTCCTCCTTTCTGTAAAATTTAAATGTGCTATGTGTGGCAAACATTAAAAAAAAAAGGAGAGGCACTGAAAGAAAAATGGTCTATCACCAGAACATGAGTCATACACAATAAATTGTTGTCATGGTCCTTGTGGCATTTTGGCCATTGCTTTCAGCTCACCACGAGCAAGATGAGTTCAGACAGAACTGACTTTAGCAAGTTGGAAGCTTTCTCTGGTGACCTCTCCCTTGAGGTTGCCTATACCTATTCCTGTTACTTTCAGTTTTATTCTGAGGTGAGTATGTCTGTTCACATACATTAACCACATCCCACCAAAGAGGGTGCAAATCAACATGGGAGGAAGTTACCTGTGATGGAAGGTAGGATACTCACTGCTGAAAAACAGATTGAAGACTATTGATTTTAAGTAAACTATAGGTTATGCCAACTTCTGCCAAAACATTCAGGACCACGGGAATATTATACAAGTGATAAACTGTCAAACAGGCAAAGAAGGAATTTTTTACTTGGACTAGTGTGAAGACCTTAGAATATAACTAACTGGAAATAATGAATTTTCTTTGATTGAAACATATTGGGATAATTAATTTCCTCTCACCTTTCAAACTGCACTTTTTTGTGCCCTCCTTCTTTAACATAGTCAAGAACTTGCTTCTGAGTCCGACCACTGGAAGAAAACCACAGTTAAAATATTTAATACAATACACCTAGTCATCATAAGCATGTATGTGGCCTGCATATGAAGTCATGGCAACCAGAAAAGTATTTGTCTCTATCAGCAGAAACTCTGGTAAGATCATAAGGAAGGGGACCTGGTCAGATACACACAGTTTTATATCATTTTGTATGTTCCTTGCTTATTTTATTTTTTTTTTTTCTATGGAGCTACTATTTGATGCTGTTTCAGAACTGCTTAAATTTATTTGTGTGCCCTTTATAGGGTACTACATTACTGGGAAGTCACCACAACAGAAAACAAAGCAGTTTTTTTCTCTCATGAACAAAAAACATTACTGAATCCTTTTGAGTGAAACACCAGCCCTACATGGTATCAGCAAACCATGGAAGCCAGAAGAAAACTGCTGAAATACATTTCATGACTCAGTTGCTGCTATTAAACACACCAACTAAACATATATACATTTTCTGCAGAGATTTAGGCTGGAAATCCCATTCTCCCCTTCTGCAAGAGGCCATGAAAAAGTGGTGAGAAAGCCCAGCACTTCCTGTTCTGCAAAGTTATAGACTCAAAAGGGAACTGAGAGCAGTAAAGGAAACCCACACTTCACAAATGCTCAATAAAGAATCAAATCCTCCCCATTCATTAGAGGCTTTCAACAGATCACAGTGAGTGGAGGATGTAGCCAAACCAGGAGGTAAGTTGAACATATCTAGAGTACTAGATTTACTCAGGCAGAAATTTAACAAGATATAGTGTGTTTACCCTAAATAGGTCCTTCCATCTTAACTAATTTACTTTGCAGGCAGGAAACAAAGTGGGAAGAGTTAGAATAGCCATATCTACAATGTTCTCGCACAAGGCCACTAGAGTGTACAGTTTATCTCAGCAAAGAGGGTTTCTAGCTCTTCAGCTTACATCAGCTTTGCAAACAGAATAAACTGTAAGAATAAAAGGATTTCCTCCCCTGGCATACACAATACAATATCTACAATGAGGCTTCTGCCAGTGTAAGAAAAAAAAACTAATAACCCAACCATTAAAAACTTTTCTACAGCTTTAACAATATCCCAGATGGACTTGGTCTTAGTGTAGGTGGTCATCTCAGATAAATCCAAGCATAACTGTCTCAGCATAAAGAGAAGCTATTGCTTCTAACTGCACAGAGATGAGTTTACCACAGGGACATGCAATGAAAATACAAATCTCTACTCTGATACAAAGGAAAGATCCCATCCTAGAAGCAGAGGATTCAAAGAGTGCCAAAAAGTTGCTTGATGGTGTTGCTTACAACACAAGAGGATTTTCTTATGTGAAACCAGCTGGAACCTATATACTTCATATCTTACACCCAAAAAGCTACTTTGCAACAGCTACTACAAAATGAATGCAGGTTTTTTTGCTACAGCATTCTTTGCACTGCTCTGGCTGAGAAGATGCAATGGAAAATACAAAGGAGCAAACTACAATGTAAAAAAGAGGAGCTGAAAATGACAGGTGGATATGATTTTGAAATGAGGAGGCAAGCAAGGTGGAAGGAAGAACATAGGTCTTACCTGAACCTAAATGATGACCCTCTAGAAAAAAGAACAGGCTTAGGCTTTGGTTTAGGTTCCTCAAAAAGCCTGAAAAAGGCATGATGCTCCACACAGATCTTCCAGAAAGATTTGCAAAAATCTCGACTCGCCATAAGGAATTCCAGGGTGTCCTGGAATGAACTCTGAAAATTGAGATAGCATTTGCAATGTAAGCAAGCAAGCAACATACATTACAGAGATGCACTGACAAAGCAGGTGCTATGCTACAAAGAAAAGCTTTTTCCCAACTCACTGGCTTTCAAGCTTAACAGGCCTTATCCTTCCTACTTTGAGACATCACAGATCTGCCTGGCAGTATCAGAGCTATTGCTCAAACTTCCTTTCATTGACAAATACGACAGAGATAAAACAATGGTCTTAACATTAACGAGAAGAGGTGGTTCACACACTGTAACTTCAGGACTGATGATATGGTACCAGAGTTGGAGCCAGAAAACAACTTTGTGACATTCAGTTTACATTTCCTTTGCTAGGATTGCTCACCTGAGATGCCAGGTTGATGCATGCAGTACCAACAGAGAACATAAGCAATTAAAAAAAAATTTTTGAGTAGAAATTTACCAAATAACCTTTTGCCAACTTCACCAATTCCTGACAAGGACTTACATTCACATCAGGCCGTAGTTTGATAAGAAAACGTTTCCTCTTGAAGCTCAGCTTTCGAACCTTAGCCCAGTTGAAGGCATTGATCTTGGTGTGACCCTACAGAGAACAAAGCCAGCAGAGTTTAAGCATTCCAGATGTGAATGGAGACATCTAAGCCACTAGAGAAAGCTTGTCATAAATTAATAATCCATTTGCTTCACTTGAAATTATTATATTTCTTATCATTCGTCCTCTGATAACACAAACTGTAAGCATCTGGTGCTGTGACTGAAGGCAGGTCCTTATTACTAAACTCTTGCATATTTATAGGACTAGGCATACTGAGTTGATGTGAAAGTATCCAACCCAGCATCACTGCACAAAACAGGGTGGCACAGCTTTTGTCCAGATTATGGTAACTTGTTCCACTATGTAGACTCTGATTTTCAGTGGACTAAGTCACCTCCCAGAGGTGCCTCCTTCTCTTTCCACCAGCTACAGAGAGTGCCAGGAATCCAGACACCTAATATGGTCACCTTACTTTGATGGAGTAGATTTCTTTCCTCTTTGTCTGTCTACAGGACAAAATAAAACACTCCTTTAAATATCACTTAACTGAGGGGAAAAAAACCCCAGGAACTGAAAGTTTTGTATTGGAAGTGCCCAATAGTGTATTTTGACCTTTCATAGGGAGAACAGAAGTAAAAGGAACCTAAACAAATTACTTGTCTCTGCAGAGTCACAACATGTTTTTTCCCCAAAATGCAACCAAAACCCAGAAACAAACAGGAAGCCTGGAAAAATTATTTTCAAAATACTACAATTCCCAGCCACTGCATCATTAGCCCCTACTCCCCAGAAGTCTTGTTCTTAATCTATGTTAGAAGGTATTGGAGGTATTATTTTAAAATATTCATTACAGTAGTCTGTTCACTTAAAGACTTCAATACAAACATGCCTACAGCACAGCACAGAAGTTTCATAGAGCTACTACAGGAATACCAAATGCAGAAACCCACGTTGATTTGGGCGCCATCACCAGACGGACGTAGGAGTAATGACAGTGTGATGATCTCTGCTAAGTGAATCTGCTGTCTAAGAATCACATAATTAATCTCCCTTAGATTACTAAATAAATAGCAGGCTTTAAAATAAGTCTATGAGTACTGCTTACGCCATTTGTGAGTGAACCTTTATTTTCCTTGTGGTCAATCTAATGAGGTCTTTATATTTCAATTTCTCTCAGTTATATCCAAAATAAAAAGATGAGCTTCAGGCTCTTGCCCTGTGAAGTGCTTGAAGGAATTCCTAAGCCTACTGCCAGATGCCAACTGCTGGGCAGACTCTAGCAGGTCAAAGCCTGACTTCTGTTTCAGCATTCAGTCTTGGAGCTTGATCCAGCAAAATTTCCAAGTTTTTTTGAAAATTTTTAAAAAACCTGTTTTGAAAGTCCCAAACATATTAGGACAAGAGATGACTGAGTTTTACAGCTTTACAAATAAGGCCTTGGACCTTCAACCAGAAGCTGCATCTTTATGGAAGGATCTCAGCTGTCTGCTGGAACTCAGTGAGGTCCATACTGTTTTGTGTAGACACATACTTTCAGCTCTAAGACAGTCCTGACTTATAAGACTTTGCAATCCATTAACTCAGCTGATGAAAATACTGTGAGAGAGCCAGGGAAGGGCCTGAACATACAATTATTTGAGTTATGTGCATTTCTAACAACATCCTGGTGTTCTCTTGCTTCAAGCTGTGCTTCAGTTTTGGGGTTTTAATAGCAATTCATTTAGTTGAGCGGGTTTTTTTAATTTTAATTTTTAAAAAATTTAGATCTCAGAGCATTTGGGTCAGGCATATTTCTGGATTTGTTTGTTGTTGTTGTTTTTCTTTATAAAAGGACTCAAAGTCTGTTATAAGGTTGGAAAACACTAGTATTTTAACTGAAGTCAAACCATTAAAATTAATAGTCCTTTCTGACAACTGTAAAAATAGACATTTTAAAGAACAGTTTACTTACTGTTTTTAACACACACAATGAGGTCAGTAGCATTTTGGATGTCAGTAGACATTAAGTTCATCGGAAGTGAAAGCAGTTTACACCAGCTCACTATTTGTACCTTCACAACTGTAAAAGCCCAATTTGTTATTTACCTAAAGGGAACTGCAGAACAAGGACTTCATAAATTTACTAATGATGCTTCATGAACATTTAACTAGGCTGACTGGGGTAGCAGAGGAGAGGAAAGAAACGTAAGGAAAATAGTTTGGATCTTTTATAGAAAGAAGCAAGACTCATGGATTCAGCAAAGGTAGAATGGCCAAGGCTGATCAAGAATATTGTAAAAACTGACAAACACTATGGAGAGCTTACATTCGCTTCCTACATCCTTCTCCATGTACTCCAGTTGTCTGTTTTATTTGTCCCTGCTTCACACCCATTTGTCATGCACCATGCCTGCATGAGGTGTCAGCATGACCAACTTGCAAATTGTGACCTGTGGATCAGTTTGCATCTTGAACAGCACGTTGTGGCTGCAGATGGAGTTCTACCCTGTGCATGCAAACAAGGAAAGAGTCCATGGAAGTGAAGGACCTAATGCAGCTATAAAAGGTTTAAGGTCATTTTTAAAAAAAAAGAAAAAAAAAAAAAAGTCAAAGTTCCTAAATTTTCCCAACCAAATTCTTTTAGACATGGTTATGGTCCTGAATTTTTACAGCTGTAAGAAATCTCTCTGCTTCATAAAGTACAAAGTCATGTCCTGAGCAGCTCTAACCTGAAAAACCAGAATGCCTGTGTTGGCAACAGCCAGGTTGATTTTTGTCCCTTCCCTATCCTTGGCTGGATGCAAGCGTATTCCATACATCTCCAGCCGACGGGCAATCTCCAAAAGCTGGAAGTCAGACTCTGCTGGTGTCTGTCCCCTTGAGAAAGAAAACAGAGAAGACACACAAATTCTTCACACCTTTTAATAGAGATCAACAGGTCTTCCAGAGAACAAAGAGACACTTCATCAAACAGACTGAAACCTGACTGAGGTATAAATATCTGTCCCCAGATTTATATTAGCTAGAACAAGAACTTTACCTTTGTCTAAACCAATACCAAAGAACCTGCAGATTTTATAGTCTACTAGAACTAAATTTTGATTGCTCCAATTCTGAGACACTCAATACAGCTAGATTTTGCACCATTAACTTTAACAGAATTCACTACCTCTATTTCTATTTTCCGTTGGGAAAACATGCTATATTCCTAAAATATATATATATATATACACACACACACACACACACAATCATAAACAGAGATGTGTAAACATGTTGTTCATCATAAAAGTGAATGCAATAGCAAAATGAAGTAAAACAGAAGACATGAAAACATTAACATAAATGTTGGGAATCCATCAGCTTTAAATTAATCATGATGAAATTACGCAAAAGTTTTGATTAATACTGCTATAGAACTCCCTACCACTCATATCTAATTCAATGTAACTCAAAGTGAAATTGTTCAAGTCTTGAAGTGATCTTGACAGCAAAAAAGTACCTTTCTATGCCTGATTTATAATTCTTTCAACCATCTTCTTATTACTAACCCTTCTCTGGAAGTGTTTAAGGCCAGGCTGGATGAGGCTTTGAGCAACCTGGTCTAGTGGAAGGTGTCCCTGCTGATGGCAGGGGGGTTGGAACTAGATGATCTTTAAGGTCCCTTCCAACCCAAACCGTTCTATGATTCTATGATACTAATCTTTTCTCCAGGCCTTAGAATACCAGCTTCCATCATCCTCCTGAATCCTATTCCCCCAAATCCCTAATTCTGCAAGCACTTCATGCTTTTCCTAAAACTGTCATTAAGCCTGTTCTTCACCCATCTCTAAATGTAGCATGGAAAGGTGAAAAAGCAACATTCAATGTCCTTGAAATCAAAAAGACTGCTGTCAGAAGTGCCTGACTAATCAGTCATCATTTGCAATCATACCTGCATGCAAAAAATGAGCAGTGAAGCATTTTGTATGAAACAGACTGTAAAATAATGACATGCTTGAATGAATATCAAAATCAATTGCTCTTTAAACATCTTGTTATGATGACGGGAGAAAGGCAGGAGTAACCTTCATGAAATTCACAGGCTTGAACGTGTTTTGAAAAGTAACCTTTGAGAAAACTCAGAGGTCCAAATCTCTTTTGTACTTATGATCTAGCATATATTTACAGTTAGAACTACTCTAAATGAAAAGAAGGCAAATAAGAGGAACAAAAACATCTTACATGTGACTACGGTGAAATTCCATGATTTTGTCTTCTAGTGCTTCTTGCTGAGGTATATACTTGTTCTTCGCTAAGTGTTCACGATCTATGGTTTCATCAAAATCTCCAATCTCGGCTATAGAGAATTTTAAGAAAAGTCTGTTAAAACATTGTATTAAATCTGAATTTTTCAGGCAATCCAAAAGGTGCAGACAGCTAGGAAGAAAGCAGAGAAGCAAACATAGTTTCTTGCAAATGGTGTCATGGTTTTATGATTCGCACTACGTTATCTTCCTCACATTCCTCCCTTCTCCTTTGTGTTAGTATCCGATATGTGAGAAGAAGCCCAAGGATTCCTCCCATCCACCACAATCATCTAAGTAGCTATTGGATGTCAACTGAACAAATGAAGCCATTACAGTGCTGCCTTGACTTCTGTGAGGGATAACTGGTCATGGGTGACAGGGAAGACAGCACTAATCTAGCAAAACTCATCCATCTCTCTCACATGTATGGTGGTGCTCAGGTGCTTCTCCCAGAGCGGCCAAGCACAAGTCTCCTCCCCAGGTCCATGCCCCATACTGTAATCTTTGGTGGAAAATCTGAAGAGAGATGGTTTTGTTTGTTTGTTTGAACACAGACATGTATTTCACCTCATGGGGTCATGAAACATTTGTTTTCCTCTAATTTTGCAGCAGTTTGAGACACATTCTGTCTCCCTCCTCCTCAAAGTTGCTCCCATCTGCTGCAGTTATTCAATGCTGTGTGCAACAGTATGTCACAACCACCTTCCATTTTGCAGCCCATTCAGTGAGATCTCCTTTTTTTCTTTTTTTGCAGGGGGGATGGGGGGAGAGGGGGAGGAAGAGGCAGGCAATCTATGTGTAGGTGCCAGATTACTATCTTGTTGCCTGCTGTTCTTGGAATGCCTCTGAAAATCTTGCTATTAGCTTTTTCACTAAACAATGTAGCAGCCTCTGCATGCAAATCTGTTGGAATAATGGCAATAAAGCTATAACAAAGGCTGCTACTTTAATAAGGTCAGTGAAATTAAAATGCAGCACCCCCAAATTAAATCCAGGTTGCAGACAGACATGATATTGTGGAGCTGACCTAGAACGTCACAGACCCAAACTCAGATCCTTGCCTCATCCTCACCTCAATTCCGCCCACGTAAATGATCCCTTAATCCAGTTCTCTCCAAAATAAGCTGGTTTAGAAAAAAAGAAAGGTTTTGGATGATGATTAAAACACTGCAGGTGATTTCTCACAGAAGTTTGCCTGGGATCAGATGTACATGCAAATGTGGAGGGGGAGCAATAACCTTGTGTAGGCAGGGAAGGTGAGGACCAGAGCATCTATGAATGACAGAGCAGTAACCTTTCAACCCAAATTGCTGCAGCCGCACAATGACTTTATACTTTGAAGGTCAGAGGTGGAAAAGAGTTGATAATTGAGACTGTCCGATTTCCACCTCCTCCCTCATCCCATCTGCTCTGAATCATTCCTTGAGATGGTAGAAATACTACAGAATCTCTTGAGAATTCTCCTTTGTAAAATGTCCCTTTTGTCCCCATCTCAGAAACAGCTTTACCCACCCCAGCATCACAAATCTTTAGGGTCTGTTTTTAAGCCTAACTCAAGTGAAAGGCAAGTTTCTCTTCTTTAATAAAGCCATAAGCCCACCTAAGTTTGCAACACCTGAAATAACATGGGCCTTGATTCTTTAAAATGCAGTTCACACCCTGTACATCCTTGTACATGGATGGACTTAAACAACCTCTGTAGGGCTTTCTTCAGAGCCAAGGGTACAGGGAAGACTCTTTCACCTCTACATGATTTCTATAATGTTCTCTGCATTTGTCAACTGCAAATCCATTATCAAAATTGCCCTCCTGGATTTCAAGTTACTTCTGAATTCGTTGTCTCTGCCCTTGTACTCAACAGCTTTTCCTTCTCTCCTTAGCCCTCCTTTTCCACCTTAAATGCCTTTCTAGTAGCACTACCTCTAGAAAGAGAGGGAGTTATATTTTAAATAGTCACCCTCACATATAACTCTTCTTTAAAATCTTCTCATGTCTCAGCCAAAGACTGATTTCCACTAATGCTCCCTTTTCTCTTATCTTGCAAGTGCATCACACCATGCTGTATTCTGTCTGCATTAGCACTTCTGATATGTCTAATGCTTTGTATTTCAGCTCTTTTCCTTTAATCAGTCCATCTTCTTACTTTATACACTCACTTTACTGCATCATTTGCCATATCAAAGTGTCCTCTCACTTCTAACACTTTCTACAATGCTTTTAAGGTATTTTTAAATAGAATGCTTCAAATATAAATTTCATTCTGTAATATAAATGCTAATTTAACAGAAACTTATTTGCTGTCATATTATTATTTCACATAAATAACAGTCTATAACATTGACGTAAACTTTTATACATAATATAAGGGCCTCCTGGAATCAAATATCCTCCATAGAAACTGCCTGAAGGCACAGCATTGATAAGACATGCAATACCTAACCTCCTGCATTCTCAGTCTTTCCACTTTGATATCACTACTCTCATCAACTGTCTAGTTTTGGTTTTTTTGCAGACAAATATGTAGTATTTTTTGAAAAATATGTAGTATTTTTTTCTACTGAATAATAAGCTAGAGAGAAAATAAATGCAAAAGCCATATGGGTAAGACACAGCTATAGACTCTTATCAGAGGAAATTTCCACAGAAAAATGTTCATGAAACACAAGATAGATAAATGAGACAGTCACAAACTTCTAGCAGAGGTTTCCAGCAAACATTGTTGCACAAAAAAGGGAGAGGGGAAAAATAATAAACAGCAAAAAAAAGGCCCAGCTTGCAGTCAGGACCTGATGAGGGGAAGCAGCACTGCAGGTACACCATGAGGCACAACATCCAAAATAGCAGTTCAGATTCTGTGAATAACTGTCTCACTTCTCCTTCTGATGTGATGGAAAAACTCAATTTTTCACTACAGAAGTATCTTACCTTACTCTCCCCATAAGGAGAGTACTACTTGATACCTAAAATCCCAGTTCAGAATCACTCTGCACCTCAAGCTCACAGGTGAAGGGGACAAAGAACTAGAGAGATTTGAAAAGCATGATGATCATTTCCAGCAACTGAGGGAAATTATTTAATCCAACAGTATAATGCATCTCAGTGGCACAAGAGCAATGGTGGTGATCTGGCAGTTTTTCACACTCCTAAATGAATGCTTCTTGCTGGCCTGCAGAGGTGTATCAGGGGATTGGCCAGGTGGATAATGGAGGAATTTTGAAAAAAACAGTGAATAAACTTTGAGTTTGGCTGTGGGGAGAAGGGAAAGGGACAGCTTGTAAAGGTGAAAGGACAACCTGTATTTTATCCTCTTATGCTGTTGCTTTAGGAAAACAAGCTAGCAGTTGCACTCTGAGCAGTTCAGACACCAGAGCTGTAGGTGGTTCAGTGAAGAACTAAATTGAGTAATCAATAAGAGATGAGAAGGTAGAAATCATAAGGAAAATAATGCATATAAAGTATTAGAGCTCAAGAGAGGATGATCATGAAGCACTATGTCAAATGAAGAGAGACACATGCATTAGGGTGTCCTCTCCTCAACATCATTCCTTGGTGCACAGACATTTAGTAGGAAAACTCACCCTCCTAGAATGCAGTGTAACGAATCATACTCAACTTCCCCAAAACAATCAAGATTTTTTTTTCCTGAGATGAAAGGAAATTAGAACTAGCTTAACCAAGGAGAGAACTACAGTTGGTGTGCTGGACACCGTAATGGGAAAAACAAAAAGACACAAAAATCTCACTAGCCAAGGATTTTTTTATTTTTTTTTTAAGTCTGTGCTGCAAAAATACTCAGTTTTAAAATGGTATGAGGAATATTGTTGTAGAGCTTCTTATTGCTAGTCAGTCACACTGGGCAATGGAAATGGAAAACCATGCAATACTTGCCTTTCCAACAGCAACTGATGAGAAACTGCCCTAACACTCAAACAGATTACGACAAAGGATTATGAGATTTATCTATTAATCACTATAGAGCTTCTGAATGTCTTTGTTGACTGAAATTTCCATATAACAGCATTTCAGTGGAAATATGCAATACTGAATTGTACAGTGACCATTCAAAACAATGGTTTATTATGACCATTATAGATGCTACTAAGTGGTTTCTTCTAATGTTGTTCTCAAGATGAGTGTCCATAAAATCTTGAAATGGAAAACATATGCTGCCTTTCAAGCGATCTGGAAGCTAGAAGAAGCTTTGATGTGATGAACAAAGTTAATGTATGATCCTACTAAACAGTCTTAGTGTGCACACTTTGCAGTTAAAAAAAACCCAACCAGACAACTTAAAACTTGTTGGTTTTTTCTTCCCTAACAGTTTCCTCTTAGGACTGTGATTTAGTGTGGCATTCTAAGCATGTTTGTTTACTACATTCTCTAGACAGCATACAGATCTCCAGGAATTTGAATGCTCTGCTGACATGATACAAAGTATAATAAAACAGGAATTCAAACTGTCTGTCACTGCCTTTGCAGTTTGCTTTTTAAATGATCCTAGGCGGACTATCAAATGTGGTGCTTTAAAAATGCAAATCCAGTGTACAGAAGCTCTGCTTTATTTGAAAAAGTAAATTACCTGTACTTGGATGCCATTATACAGAAAGACAGTAAATCGTCCATGTGGCTTAAACCCGTTCCTACAGCAGCTACTAACAGGTAAACCAGCAAAGCATGTCCAACCAATCATCCTGTTTATCCTCCTGGAAAGAAGAAAGAAGGGCACTTACACTGTACTATGTGTGAGATTAAGAGAGCAGTGCTGGTATCATTACACGTTAGCCTTCCTTGTGCCAGGTCCTGCTTCACCTGCAATGCAAATAGGTACCTGCAAAACAAAAGTGAACAAAGAGTTACACAAAGCATGAGGGAAAAAAAAAAAAGAGGGGAAAGTATTTCAACGTCAACTCCAGTTTTAGCTACCAGTTTGGCAGTTCCTTTCACTTTTTGGAATCTACAGAAGGGATCTGAACTTCCTAAGTTTAGAGGCTAAATAAAACATAACAGATACTGTATTACAGCCGTTAGAGTCTTACATGGTGGCTGCTTTGCAGAACTGAGATATCTCTCTCTTTCTCTCTCCCCCTGTCTCTTTGAACCACAGCAATGAGATCTGGAAGTGATATGACAGTGGAAGCCAATGTGACAGCTATTAAGTGCTCAGCCACCACACAGCAAGCAGCACCAGATAATGGAGCTGCATGTAACTATGAAGAAATGCCAGACAAAGCAGTGATTTAGAGTTATCAGTTAGTTCTTGCAGAACACAAGGAGAACTCTAAAATTCCACCTTGGCACTCATCTGGGAACAAGGAATAAGATCTCAATCGAACAACTAGCTAGCTCTGATACTTTTGTGGCCCCGTTACCTTCACTGCCTGTGCACCAGCCATTTTTAATATATTTGCTTCCAAACCACCTCAGTCATCTAAGGCAACCCTAAATAGAAAATTTAGGAGCAGACATCACAGGACCATGACATTATTTCAACATTTACATTTTTTCTAGCTCCAACAGGAATTGAAACTGCTTAGTTCCACTCAGCAACAAATTCCTCCCTAGAAAAAAAAACAACTGACCTAGCAGTAAGCATTTCTCCTACACTTAGTATGAAACTTGAACTGGTTGGGCACCTTAGCAAGCCTTCCAAAGGCTGCAGCTCCTCTGGAGGATCTCAATAGTTTTTAATAAGACTACATTTTAATAGGTTCAGTGAAAAGCTCTCATTTGAACAGTGAGTTTCTGAATGAGGAAATGAAGGTAAAAAATGAAAAGGGCAAACTGATTCAACGAGTATAGAAACATACACAGTACATGAAATAATATAGCAGATTTAAGTAATGTCATTTTGAAACCTGCAAACATCTGCCTACCTATACAAATTTCACTCTAGCAGAACAATATAGCACAGAAGTGTTGTATTCTCTGCTTCTTCAAGTGATGATGTTGTTCCCTGTGGATATGCTTTTACATCCTACACACTGCTGTGTACATATATTCAATTTCCCCAGCATACACATTTAAAATCTAACCAAAAAAGTCATTAGGATTCAGAGACACGTCTCCAGGTGCAGAAAGAGATTACTAAAAGTCAATTTACAGTTCACATACTAAGCAACAATATGCAGAATATCTATCTGGAAACATGTATGTTTCATTAGTAACATCACATTGTGAGTTTTCATTCATCCCTTTATTGTTTTTAGTCAATCTTTCAAGTAAATATTCCTCCTTCCCACCTCACTTTCTACTTTTCTCTGTCCAGGCCAGCAAGAAATATCAATAATTTCTTTTTTTCCATTCCATTTGTCTATTACCAAAATAAAACAAGACAGAGAGAAACACAGAACAACAAAGGTGGACTTGTTCTTTATAAAGCAGGTCATAAGGACACAAGAGTTCTTTGCAGAAGAGGACTTCATCTTGTGGGAAGATGCAAAACAAAAACTAATAGTGAAAATACTGAATCAGAATGGAAAAATGTAATTAAAAATGACAATATTGTAGATCAGAAAAAGAGATGAAAAGTTTCAGTGAAGAAATACTGCAGTAAAACAATGTTTCTAACCACAAATGAAAGACCTGATAGCAAGGAAGAACCTTAATAAGTTCCTCATATATATATTTACTCATAGAGAAATATGACTCTCTACGCCAACACAGTGTGAAATTCAGAGCTTAAATGAAGTTACTTAAATGCACACACCTATAAAGTATTATTTCTGCCTATGTGTGTATCGTTCTCTACCTTCCTTACTTTTAATTTTATTCCCTCTCCTTTCCATTTCTCTATCTGAAGTCACACTTCCACCCATGCAAACCTTTGTCCTTTGCACTGGCTATATGAACAGGGACCCCCACCTGCTGCAACTTGGCAGCTCATGCAAAACAACTCTCTCCCAAACGTGGATGCAGAGTGGCACGTGTCCCTCAGCAGAGGAGCGCCCCAGGGCACCCAACACATGGCTTAGTCATGTCCCTTCCAACACCCCTGCCAAAGTGGCTTGGAGAATTCTGTTGTCGAACTGCCTTCTCTTGGGGTGAGCAAAGCTCTCCCAGGACCCCAAATCCAAGAAGGCAAAGGACTTTCCTGCATTTTGCAGAACCTCTCAGCACAGATTAGGAGAATCTTAGGGTCTATTTTTCAGGTGCATTCAAGGTTGGGGCAAATAACATCAAGCTAATACCAAGAGGCAGTCACTGACCCTCACCCAATCATCTCAAATTCCATGTTTTCCCCACTTTCCACCAGAGATTTAATGCCACTAAAGATTTAAGAAAAAAAAAAAAAAAAGAAAAAAAAAGAAAAAAAAAGAAAAAAAAAGAAAAAAAAGAAAAGTCGTGCAGCTACTAACCTTGTCAGTTCCTCCTGCAGCTGAGCATGGTCAGGTGGGAAGAATTTTACCACAAATTTTACAACAACATGTTTTGGTCCTAGGGGAAATGTCAAAGGAAGTTAGTGAACATCAGTAACATACTGGCCAAATTTTATTTCGCAGAATGATGTACAAGGGATGATTCATGGAACTTGCTGTGCTAACATACATGCTAACCTCCCGTCCTTTGTTAGTATTCTGATTATTTAGAAATTGCACAATAAAATTTACACACAGTAAAAGAGAATAGTAACTTGGTTGAGGGATACTCTGCCAGAATCGAGTCTGTTTTTAGTAATTACATCAGTTGATCCAATAAAATATGTGTGTCTACTTTCCCTGCTTCAGAACAGGAGGGAGCTAAAATGCACTCCATTTTTCAAGTCTGCTAGTAAATTATTATTTCTGTTTTAAGAGCATCACATTTGTTCTGATGCTTACAAGTACAACCAGTGACAAAAGGAGCAATGCATCTCTCTCTCATGAGAAAGAGAGGTGTCAGAGCACACACAGACTAATATGATCAGAGAGGCACCTAGGGAAACTTAATCTCAATGGCGAAATTCAATACATAATGTACTTTGTTGATATTTGACAGAGAAACAAAATCACCAAGAGCTTTCCTGTTCACTTCTACTTTTTCTAGAGCTGATGCCTTTTTACAAATTCCTTTTGCCTCCCACCATAACTTTCTCTGATGCCTCTGACCCAAATGTTTCCTTCCTCTTGGTTTCAGTCAGTTTGAAGTTCACTACCAGTGTCGTAGAAAGCTGTAGCATATTTGCTAGCTCCTTCCCAGCAATAATGTCTTCCTGTTCTTTTTCTTTTATCCTGATGACTGTTACCTTTTGGCAACGTGTGCTTCCTTTAATCCTTCTTTTACTGCATGCTTCTTTCCTCTATGAAACTGTTTCCTCCACTGCCACCACTGCCTCTTCTAGTGACTGACTAAACCTCTGCCTCCTACTGGGACAGCCCCTTCATATGTTCATGTGACATAATTTTACAGCACACATTGTACCTCTTCTAAGAGCAGAACAGAAATAAAAAACAATCCAAACAAAATTCAGTGAAGAAAGCTGAGAAGATCCCAAGTGACAGAGTCCTCATTTATTCAAGTACTCTCAGATTGACAAAATAAATAACAGCAAGGAAGTACTTACTTCTAATCTGTTTCATAACAGGCTTCAAGAGATCAAGCCACACCTGAAAACAAAGGAAGGTGGTGTTATAATCTCTGAACAAACTACTGCTTACAAAGGAGCATTTTTCATTGCACTATTTAAAATCATTTACTTATATATTTTTTCCAGTGTGGTCATCATGCTCTCCCTAATTACATGTAGTGCATTTTCTCCCCAAAACCCTGGAAGATGCTCAGGAAACAGCACTGTTAACAGGCTGTCACCCTGGCACAGCTTTTGAAGCAGTACAGATCCAGAGAGCTGGGAAACAGCGAGGAAATCTCCCCCTCAGTTGCCTCAGATACCAACAATTACAGCACGTTTCATCAGGAACCATTCGTTTAGTGGAAAGAACAACCGAAATAAGGAGTTAAAAAAAAATACAGTCCTATGCTGTCTCCAGAAAGGTAAGTGGAAGAGGCTGGTGCTTGTCTCTGAGCTGGGAACGTTGGGCAAACAGAGAAATGAGAAGGCAGCTTTGAGAACCCCAGAGGAGTCCCACCATGAGGCCTGGGCATAAACGTGGGGCTCCTGACCACCACCTGAGAGAGGAATGTCTTGGCAGGTCAAGGGCGTGAGGTGGACATAGCACAAAGCAGGGGCAGGAGGAGGGTCACTTCATAACTGTGTAACGTTTTGTCTCCCCTATAGACCTGGGAAGTTCAGGCCTAAGCTTTCTTAGCCAGGGGCAGCGTAACTTCTGCAGATAGTTTACTTCCACCTGTTTTTTAACAACCCATTTTTCAGGACAGCATGTGGGTCTTCCCTTCGGCTTTCAGAAGAGAAGTAGTGTGTGGACGCAGAGTTTTTAGAGCCCAACCCCCTGTTCTGCAGTCCCAGTCAGAAGGGCCTGGGCAAAATATTATGGAAAGCTGAGGGACAATCAGGCAGAAGGTAAAAGCCAAACGACTTGCAGGGCCTGGAGAAGTGCGACAGCTCACAGTCCTCGGTTGGTAACTAACTGTGCCCAAGATTTGTATTTTGTTATCTCTCTAAATTGCATGGAGCCTCCCTTGGAGACGTCTGGAATTTGTGGAGGAACATCCTACAACCACCACAAAGGTTAAAACCATTAAAAAACAAATTAACCGAGTCTTCCTCTGGAAAAAGAAGATGTATTGAAATGAATCCACTTTCGACCTTTAATAACTTTAGATTATGCAGAGACTGAAACATACTCAAAATATTCATTTTAGAAAATCACCTGAGAAGCCAGAGAGAACAGGCCTGTATTGCTGCTATAACTGCTCCAACGCTGATTGCCATTTTCATCATTACCAATACAAGTACTTAAAATTAGCAAAGATCTCGCACTCCTGCCCCTTCACACTCACTAAAGTTTCTCAATGGAATTCTTTTTATGTTTCTCAGCCTATGAAAGTCTTTTTTTTTTTTTTCAGAAGGGCTAAAGAAAGTTGGTTATCCAAGAATAGGAACACAGTGTTTATCACACATTAAACTGGTTCTGACATTTTTTGGCATTTCAGTAACTTAAAACTGTTTTGTTTCAGAAAGTTGGCATGTACGTAATCTGCAACAAAGGCCAAGGACTTTGCCAAGTTTAGTGGGAAAAATAAATAATCTTGAATATGAAACAGCCAGTTTATAAGAACATGGGAGTAATATATTTTACTTGACACACACACAAAAAAAAAATCTCTCTCCATCCAGAAGGAGTTTATTATATAGCATGAACACACAAGTGCATCATTCCTTTCTCCACTTTCCCAATCATGCTATGAGCAAGTGACAACATCCTTGACCAGACTGCCAGATACTAGAAATACATACATTGAACTTAAGTAGGGAGAAAGATGGGACAAAATGAAGACCCACCACTATCACCAAACCCAAGCAATTGAAACTTATGGATCGTGCAAATGCAACACTGTATCTAAACATAGCCAATCTGAGACTGGTTTATAAACTGGAAATGAAAAATAACATGAAGATTCAATTAAGATTCATGTTTTCAATTTTACCTGGAACTACAAAGGCTAGATTATTTATTTTTCAAACAAAGTCTGGCATTCCATGACAACGACCAGATTTCAGCAGCTGGAGAATTGGGGCAGACGTCAAGTGTGATGAAACTCTGTGAAACTCCAGGCTTAGCAACAGTGCCTTGTTTCTCCTTGTCCCAGCAGGATGTGCAGCCCTCAGACCCTCCACGTTCATCTCCCATGCAGATCTTGTCTGCTACAAGCACGGCACGCTTGAACGTATACAGCTGCCAGGCATCTTGACATCAATATGTCAGATATGAGGTCTGGAGCCTTGCACGTTGAAACAAACACAGCTCAACTGTGAATATATGACTTCACCTACACATGATAACATCCAAACAAATATGCTCCAAATATTTATTTTTCCTTCTACATTGCACTCTACATTGGAAAAGCAACTCATTCTCTTCAGATTATACGAATGTAAAATACGCATGTGTGTTTTATTTCTCAGACACAATGTTAAATACAATTTTTTTTTTATTTGCACAATGCTTGAGTTCTACATTATGGTCATTAAGAAGCTCAGAAAGTTTTAAATCCCACAGGAACATTCACCTCAACTACATTATATAAACTGACTAGTATAATTTCAATATAAATACTGCTCTCAGAGTGGTGCTGCACATTGAACCAATGACTCATAATCAAATCTCCTGCTTCAGAGCTCCCGTGAGTTGCTTTTAGGTGGTCAAAGGTGTTACCTTCCACTGAATCTCACCATTCCTGGGGTACAGCTGACCAGCTGCAGACAAGATTTGGGGATCCTCCCCTTTTTCAGAAGCAAAGATTGAAACAACCAGCAGGAACACGGACCGAAGATCTCAGATACTGGGCTAATATTTCCTTTTGGAAGAGCAGGGGCCAGGTGAGTTACCATGCTTGATGCATGGAGGCATTTTGCTTCAGGTCAAACTGGCAACAGCCTTAGGGGGTTTTCTCCACCTTCCTCTTCATCAGAGCCCTGGCTTCCCCACTGTGAGCATCTGGACATATTTCCAGCCAGTCAATTCCTGCCACTGCGAGGGCCTCAGGCACTGGCACCACCTCAATCTCTCCTGTGTTCCGCCTCGAGCAAATAAACCATTTTGTTTCCAGAAGACTGAAAACTGTTAGTTTACTTCAAGTCTCTGAGCAAAACACAGAGGGTCATCTATTTGAAACTTAATGACCTGTGAAGTAGAGAAGGTCTATCAAATGACCTTCTCTATTTTCTAGAAAACTAAAAAAGCAACTGTATACCCACAAGATGTTAGGATTTGTTTCAGCTTTGCATACATATATTAGGAATGTCAGTATGCCGTTATTAACGTTGCTACATGGACCCTCTGTTGTAGTACTGTACAATTGCACTGTTTTGGAAGAGTTATGTTAAGCTCTCAAGTTACCTAAAGCATTAGCCAAGGATATCTGGCAGAATACAAAACTTTCTAGTAAACTGTGTTTCACATAAATCCAGGAGCAAACTCTGAAGTGGATCACTTTTAACGATCGATGTCCATTTTATCACATTAGCCTAAAACACTACGACCACTAGCGTTCGGTTTCAGTGTCTATGTAAGCCTGCACTAAGGCATGACAACAAATTACTGCATCAGCAGATAAATCCTCTTTTGTTTCTTTTGTTAATATATATTCCTCCTTACAGAAATTTTATATAGATGGACAGAAAATAGATTTTTTTTCTGATTCCCCAAAGTAATCTCCTTTAGGTCAGCCAGACTACTGGTGCAGAATTCACTGAATAGGTAAGAAATACAGTATACACCAGAATGTACTGGTTAAGCAATCCAGGTAACTAACACACATGCCACTAGGTCACACAGTAAGTCTAAAGTAAAACAAACTTCAGAAAGAAAGTCATTAGAGGCTGAGAAATCATTAGCCTTTGGCTTTCTCTGCTACATGATACTGTTTCAATGCTAGAAGTATTTAGTGCAATGCCTGAATGTTGCTGGCAGCTGTTCTGAGTCCAAAGTGTCAGGACCAGGACACCTGCCTGTGCCACACAGCTCCCCAGACAGGATTTTAATCTTTGTTTGTTTGTTTTGCTTTCCTTTTTATTAACCTTGTTATATTTAATCTATCCATTTTCTTGCCCCACGATGCTTTCCATGGAACTGTGTCACAATCGCTGCAACTTCTCTGTCTGCAGAGAAAGATTCTTTCCACACTCCAAATTAAGCAGGACTGTAAAATCAGAGTTGAGACTCTGCAACAGTCCAGCCAGGCTCTTCTCAGTGATGCCCAATGATAGGACAAGGGGCAATGGGTGTAAACTGGAACACAGGAGGTTCCACTTACACTTGAGAAGAAACTTCTTTACAGTGAGGGTGCCAGAGCACTGGAACAGGCTGCCCAGGGAGGTTGTGGAGTCTCCTGCTCTGGAGACATTCAAGACCCGCCTGGATGCCTTCCTGTGTGATCTCATTTAGGTTCCTGCTCTGGCAGGGGGGTTGGACTAGATGATCTTTTGAGGTCCCTTCCAATCCCCAACATTCTGTGATTCTGTGACTCTCTACTGCAAATGAGAAAGATAAAATGCTTTTCCAACTTGTGTCTGAATTGGCTGTTACTTTCAATGCAGATGAAATATGACAGGAGCAATCACATTTAAAAAAAATTTCTTCAACTACAGCAGGTGAGAACATTTTTTTAAAAAGTCCTTTTTCCTTTTGGAGATTAAGGATTAAAAATACTTTATAAGTAAGGAGCAGAAGGACAGAATACAATGTGTATGTAGATGAAAACCAGCTGAAAATTATTCCTTTTACATACCATCATCTTTTTATGATCTGGAAATTCAAGGCCAAAATAGTCGCCTTCAACAAGGTTTAGGTGGTTGCAAACAGCATCATGCAAAACTTTTCCTGGAGCTCTTTGCTGTAACAAGAAAACAAAGCCACAGGTTACCAAGATGCTTTTAATTAGCGGCAGAAAAATTACTATGCTAATAAATGGTTGAAGAAACAACACTGTCAAAACAGCTTACAAAATCAGTGAATATTCCAATCATACCTACAGGGCAGGTGACAATAATTACACTAGTTTTAAAGCTACAGAAAATATCCATCCATCCCTGGATGGCAGTTCAGAATCCATCTTCAACGCATTTCTATTTTTGAGGGAAAAATACCATGAAATAGAAGAGGTAGAAGCAGAGGACTTGGGATATAGTTTTCTTATGTCTGCCAGGTAAAAGTGCAATGCAGTAAGGTGTCAGTCTCTAGGCTATATTGCTAATGTGAACTTCAGAAGACAGCCATTTCGTCCCATGGGCCCTTCAAGTCACGTCAGGTGGTGCTACATACATGTGTGCACAACATACAGAAACCAAAACGTTCCCTGATAGACCTGTCACACAAAGTGCAAGGGTCTGAGTGTTTGCTGGACACCATTTGATACACAACAGGCTCAAGTCCTGGGTTCTGACTTCAGACGGGCTTAGCCCAAGCCTCCTGCTGTGAGGCACTGAGGCTGCTCAAGGCCAGTCTGTGCTACTCTAATTTGGAGGAGTCAAGAGCAACTATTTCCTTCCATACACTGAAAGTTTTCCCTCTATAAAGACCAGATGTTCTAGCCCAATATTAGCTCCCACAGCCACTGCTCTGCTGATTGTAAGGATTCTTCTCATCAGCACATCAGTTCAATCCACACCTGCAGCAAATACTGCAAATTACAGCTCACCAGCAAGTCTTCAGCAAAAAAACACTGTTACTGTATAAAAAGGCCAATCACTGAAATAAAATATTTTTGTTCCTTGGACAAATGCACCTGTTTTATCTCAAGAGGCCCTGAAACACAGATTTCCACTCACTTCAGAACAAATAACAACCCATTAAACTGCACAAACTCCATCGTTACAAGAGACCCATCACACCTCAGGCAAGTGCCCTTGCACTTAACCTACAGATTGGCCCTTTCCCTTTCTGCCCAGTAAATAATTACTGAAGCAAATTAACACAGCAGTAACCGAGCAAAGGAAAGAAAACCATTAGAGGCGGGCAGTCTGGCTGACCTGGCTCAAACCTGAGCCTGAGTCCACGTCCCAGCATCTCCTGGCAGTGCCTGCACCAACAGGCTACTTGCGAGTGGACAGTTGCTCAGTCCCACCTCCTCCCAGATGTGTCACTATGCAGTTAGTCTCTCTTTCACTGGGGTACCGAAAACCAAATCCCCAGGTTTTTTTTCCACCTAGGGAGGACAAAAATGCCTGGTTTCCAGCCACAACCCCAAGTACAAAGCATCCTTCCAAAGGCAATTTATCTAACAAATTTAAATTGTCTAATATAAATTGTGAAAGGCAAATACCCAGTAGCAAGGCTTGCACCACAGAAATTAAAACCTGTCATTTTTTGTAAGGAAGGCACAGGATATATGTGCCACCACAGCAGCGCTGTCACCCCAGTGATGCAGGACAAGATGACCAAACCCTTCAACGCTGGCTGGTTTTGAAAGTTGGAAGGGAAAAGCCAAGCTCACCTTCCCTGGAACCTGCTGAGCAGGTTTTTGCCCAGCATAGTGCCAGGTGGCTACAGACCTATGCCACCAGGAAGCAAGGCTCACTTAGGTTGTTTCATTAACTGTTAATGTTAGCTGTAGCAAACAGTAGCCTCAGGAATAGTGGCAGAAAACAGATCAAGAACGACTGCAGATAGGAGTATTACTTTTTTTAAGTATTCATCATAACCAACCTTGCAGTAACTGAAATACTTCATACCAAAATGGCAAATAAAAAGACACAGAGAGGGCAAGGGAAAAAAAGACATCTATTTTTCTAGACAAAGAACTTCTGATCTGACGTAACGCCGTCCAAAATAACTCTCAAGTACAAATGTATTTGAACACACCCACTTCACATTCTCCAGCTTCATTAAACTGAAACCATCCTCAATGACCAGCACCCAGCCCACACCAGCCATTGCATCTCCTCGTCAGTTCTAAAAGAAAGCTTCCCACATTTTCTACTCCATCTATTGCTGTATGTAGTCATACCCAAACATATACCATCTCTTAATGAAAGAGCTTCTCATTAAGTGTGTTTTGTTGGAGGCAACAGAGTAATATTTAAGAGACATTAGGTCAAGTGTAATAACAATATTAGTTTACTGGTCCAGAAATACACCTAGAAATTATTTAGAAACTTCAGGCAAATGCTCCTGCTCCCAGACTAGTCTCAGGTCTCCTCAGTTTGTCTGGGGCCACAAGAAAGCAGAAGGATGTGTTTAACAGCCACTCTCGCAGTAAGAGGCAGAGGATACTTGATTTCATCCAAGTGCACAAGCAGAAAAATGGAAATGTGCCTGTGTATATGTCTTACTAAAGTACCAAATTTCAACGTTCTTCCAGAAAAAAAAGGTCCTTCTGGGAGTGTGGATTCTTGACCAATAGGTAAAGAAGACAGAGAGCCTGCCTGCGCCACTACGCCACCCAGGGTTAGCTGAGGAGAACAAGCCTGTATGATCTCAGACCACGAGTAAAAGCAGCTGATTAAAACCTGCTGCGTGTTTTCATAAAGTTTTTTTCTTATATGCACTTAAGACGACGGAACGGCAGTCTGGTAGCTTTTATGTCACTTGGCATTTTCCCTGGAGTGTGCCTCGGTAACATGAAATGCTTCTTACTCAAGTATTTGTAAATAAGACTATTATTCTAAACTCATCTTAGCTTTGATCAGTCTACCTCAAAATAAAATCTGACAGTTCATTCAAGGGAAACACCGTGCATATAAAATCCACTGAGATTTAGAGCCTGATGACACTCTGGTCTTGCAGGACCAAAAGGAGAAGCACAACAACCGCAAAAGCAGGAACTCTCCAGTCTTGCAGAGATGTTGATTCAGTGCAGTTCCATGACATCCCTACTAAAAAATTTAAACACAATAAATTAAAATCTCAGTCCGCTGGGTATGGAAGCGAACCAGCAGTCACTGACTGAGGTCACAGCAAACACGAGCTGACAGAGGAAGCATTCAGGATTGAGTGCGCCACAACGATGACATCATCTGTAGCCAGCAGTCCTGTCTGAGTTGAAGGCGGTTACAAGGCCTGTGGGACAAAACAGATTTTCCCCAGAACTCAGAAGGCACTTTCCAACCATCAGGCGCATCCCTGCTGCCACACCTCAGACAGAAAGCACAAGGCAAGCTTCATCGGTTCCTGTCCCACAGCCCTGTGGCTGCAACTACATCCCATGAGCCACAGCCTGGCCGCTTTCCCCGCTCCACACCAGCACAGGTCTGATCCACAAGGACCCCCGAGCCCCCCCAGAATAGCTACACATGCATGTAAGGTTGCAGGGTGGGGAAAGGCTGCACTACAGCCTACACTATAGGAGGGCTTTTCCCTGCCACAGTGAGAAAGTAAAGGCCATTTCCCATTACATGACCATCACGAAAGCCTCATACACTGGGATGAGGGAAGGTCATCATTGTGGCCAAACATGAAGGACATGGAAAAGGAGAGCCAGGAGACCTTATCTGCTGCTCTCCCTGAGCATCATCAAATAAGAACTCACAACAGGGAGGTAAAAACCTGAAGGTGAAGATCAGAGGAGGAAGATGAGGCACGCAAGTGGGACACTGACATGGAAGCTGTCACAATGAAAGCTGGCAGCAAGACTATACCTCCAGACCATTTGCTACCACAGATCCACACTGTAAGGCAGTAAGGGAAAGGAAACAGCAAGGTCTGGTGTACTGGTGGAATACAACTGGGGAAAGGCCACATGCAACACCCAGGAACTGGAAAGCAGCTGCAGCAGGTGGCAATCCCCTGCTCCTCTTTCTGTGGACAACCAGATTATTGTATAATCAATGAAGAAATAATGCAGCTCTAGAAGGCAATTCTTCCTACCCCAAACAGCCACCTGAGAACACTGGCAATGAACTTCTCCTTAGCAATACAGTTGTATTATTTTACTCTTGATAGGGAGCCCACATACTTGTGTTACAGGGTTCATTTTAAGAGGAGGTGAATCCCAGCCGCATCGACAGCAGGGAATTACTGTTATTCTCTGGAGGTGGTATTTAGTTACACTAAAATAACATTACATATTTATTGCAGTGAAAAGAAGCTCACTGATTTCCAGCTACACATCCTTATTGCTTAATGCCTTTTGAACTGGCCTTTCATTTAGCTCTGTGAAATCACATTTTAAAAGTCACTTTACATTTTCAGGGAATGTCAGGCTACTAAGTTCTAAATTATGAATAATGTGCATCACCACGTTTAGCTGCAAGCTATGAAGGTACCCAGCCAAAGTAGCCTGCTCTACGCACTGTGCATTCAACATTTGCTGTCTGCTCATTATTGCAGTCTTACTCAATTCACCCTCCCTCTACTCTCACCAAAATCCAAAACACTACGTCCCTTATGATCTTCCAGTGATGAATATTTTAATAGGTTCAACAATTCTTTAAGGTCTTAGAGATCACCAGTTAAAGAAGTCTACCTCTACATACTTGTTTAGGCCATTCTTTGGCACAGACTGCAACACAGATTTTTTTAAAAAAGGAAAGTGCATAGCAGTATCTGGAAGAAATCCAGGACTTTAAAAGAAGTGGGTTTGGACACATTCCTCCATCCCCCATTTAATTTAACAATCATTTCACTAACCATCTACCAAAAAAAAAAAAAAAATTTGTTTAGGACCAAATAGTGATTTTATCATTTTTTTTATCTGTCCAGCCAACTAATCTCAGATGTCAGATTGAACAGATCTTTGATTTAAAGGTTTTTGTTTATTTGTTTGTTTTCACATTACTGAGCAGTAATAAATACCAGGTTAAAAAAAAACCCAAATAATCTAAGCACCTTCTTTGGAATATCTGAAAAACGTAAGTCTCATCAGTGTTTTGGTCAATGTAAGACAGCTTCATGTGG